TTCCCCTCCCCCCCTCCACTGCCTCTGGGAGGCAGCAAGAGAGAGGACAGATGACTCTGCAAAGCCAGCACGCACATCCCCCACATGCATCAGCTCCCTCCTGACCCCATTGCTGCCTCTGATACAGAGGTAGGAAGGAGTGAGGTGGGGGTACATGTAGTCGATAGGAATAACCAAGAAGCCTAGATAAGCCTAGGCTTATCGGTTAATTGTTTAGTCAACTACACACCGACGTCCCTATTCCCAACCTTCAAAACCTAGGTCGTGTAATGACTTGAGCTCTTGTAGCTCAACTGGAAATTCACAATAAAGTGGAAACAAGGGCTAGCAGCAGCAAGAGTCTCCCAAAATGGCAGTTTTTAAGAACAGAAAGTCCTTGCAGGAAGAGCTCTCTCATGCTGGCACCCAATCAAAATTCTTCCCATCCTTAACCCCGATAAAGGGATATTTCATAAAAAGGGATTTTAGATTGTTCATTTAACTAAATTGTGAGCTAAGCTCTTTACAAATTACACATACGTTTGTTTTACATGAAACAAACATTAAACAATCCTACATGTGAAACAATAAAAGGGACTACATAGAAAGGATGGTTCGTGCAGTCATTATTTTTTGGCAAGACTGCCTCATTAGTACCACGTTAGACCTCTGTCGCTAGGAGCCCAATGCTGCTACCATTAGAGTCAATGGCACAACTCCCAATCACTTTTATGGCAGCAGGATCAGCACCAGTGAGGGGCGGCTATAACAGCATAAAGAGAACCCTGGATTAGAGATGCGAGAGTAGTCGATTAATTGACTACTTGATAAGCTTAGGCTTATTGGGTAGTGGAGTCAACTACTCGCTTCCCCCCCCCCACACCCATGCTGCCTCTATATCAGGCAGAGGTCAGGGACCCAGCTGTGGAAAGGATAGGTTGTGTGTATACTGTTCTAATGAACCAACACAGAGTGAGACAACTCAATGGGAGGGAAGTCAGTTCTCAGTTTTATAAAGAATGGGATTTAGAAGAGATACAATATTAGAGATGGCTTTCATTTGCAATATAGATAAAGTTATAACAAGAACTTGCAAGAGAAGTATCACTAAGTAGTTTGGAAGCAATATTTTGATAAAAGATAAACTTGCCTCAATTTTAGAGAGTTTTCAGTATTAAGATGGAAAACAGTCACCAAAATAATACACAAAATCTAAAGTGAACAGAGCCACAGGAGACGATGGAGTAATTAATTGGTCCTGGTAATGATGATCAAAAAGTGCACAACAAAGGAAATGTCTGAATGTTCTCTAATAAGATGGCTAGTACACCACACACAAAAAATACAACCATCTTACATCTTGCCTTGCAAGTGTTTCAAGCAGGGGACTCAAACTCAAATTCACCTTAGGGCCAGTGCCAGTACTCAAATCTTCCTAGCAGGCTTGCAGGCACTCCCTCTGGCAGTGCTTCGCAGGTAGGGAGTAAGGAGTCTCCGCCCCCCCCCCCCCCTCTCCCACAGACCCCCCAGCCCCATCTGCCACCCCAGGTGATCTACAACCCACCAGGGGGCCAAGCCACCACCATCAGCAGTGCAACAGAGCCTAGCATGGCTTTCTGTTGCTAGATCCATGCCACTGCCAGCGCATCCCTGTGGCCTAAGGGAGGTGTGTGCAGAGCCATCCCATCCATTGATGTAAGCTGTGAAACTATCAATGGTGTCAACTCTCCTGATCTGATCACAAGCTGCTTGACAATTGGGGCTTCCCCAACCCACCCAGAAAGCCCTAACCACATTATTAGAATTAAGTCAGATCTGGTAACTTCACTACCTGAGGTCTCATGCACTGCTATAACCTAAACCCAAAACTCCAGTCATCAGAAGAAGTGGGCTGTGCTCAGAAAAGCTCATAATACCATCTACACATTTTGTTAGTCTTTAAAGTGCTACCAGACTATTTGTTGTTTTTCAAGTTTTCTGTTAGGCTACGTCTAAACTACACTCTTGTCAGAGGGATATAAATGAAGCACTTCGAAAGTGCAAATGAAGCGGGGATTTAAATATCCTGTGCTTCATTTGCATAATCACATCATGGCACTGTTTCGAACAATCGCCATTTCGAAAGTGAAACCGCAGTTTAGACGCGGTTCTTTCAGCAACGGGGCACTTTTTCGAAAGATCCTATACTCCTCAAAAAATGAGTACGGAATCTTTTGAAAAATTGCCCCGTTGTCAAAAGAACCATGTCTAAACCGCAGTTTCACTTTCGAAATGGCGCTTGCTCAAAACAGCACCATGACGCGATTATGCAAATGAAGTGTGGGATATTTAAATCCCTGCTTCGTTTGCACTTTTGAAACACCTAATTTA